GGGAGACCCCAACCCAAAAAAAAAAAAAAAAAAAAAAGAATTTGAATGTAAGACAAGTACAGTGTCGATGTCACTGTGTTATTGAGGGACAGGACAGGACAAGTCAGTGAATTGAAAGCTGGATGGAAGTGTTAATTGTCTTCAGGCACACACGTATGTATGTATGTAGTGGCTAGATACACAGAAAATGAAATTTACCACTGTAAGCATATTTTTTTGAGTCGGGGTCCTGTTCTGTTGTCCAGGCTGGAGTACAGTGGCACCATCAGGGCTCACCGCAGCCACGACCTTATGGGTTCAGATGATCCTTCTACCTCAGCCTCCCAAGTAGCTGAGACTACAGGCATGTCCCACCATACCCGGCTAATTTTTTATTTTTTGTAGAGATGAGGTCTCACTATGTTGTCCAGGGTCTCAAACCCCGGGCTCAAGCAGTCCTGCCTCGGCTTCCCAAAGTGCTGGGTTTACAGGTGACAGCCACCATGCCCAGCCCCTTAGAACCATTTTTAAGTGTGTAGTTCAGTGGCATTAAGTACATTTACATGGCTATGGAGCTATCACCACCATCCAACTCCAGAACTTTCTTCATTTTCTTAAATGGAATATCTGTACCTATTAAACAATAACTCCCCATCTCTACCTCCCCAGCTCCTGACAACCACTATTCTGCTTTATGTCTCTGAATTTGACTAGTCTAGGAACCTTGCATAAGTGGAGTCCTACAATCTATGTCCTTTAGTAACTGGCTTCTTTTCCTTAGCATAATGTCTTCATGGTTCATCACAGCATGGGTCAGAATGTCTTTCCTTTGTACAGTTGAATACTGTTCCCTCATATGGACATACCACATTTTGTTTTTCTATTCATCCATTAATGGAAGCTTCAACAAGTTGCTTCCACCTCTTGGCTATTGTGAACTGTGCTGCTATGGGTGTTCAAATATCTGTTTCGGTTCCGCATTTAATACTTTAGATATACGATGGAGAACGAAAAAAATGGAATTATCTTTTGCAGGGTGGGCCCCTTGTAGTACAGGCTTCCCCTGCTAGGTAAGTGTTCTAGGAACCCATCAGTACCATGTATCAGCTAGCGTTGTTGTAAGAGACTGCATTTGGCTTCAGTAAGATTTTTTCTGGAGATTCTTTAAATGCATTTGCACATTTCATGATGGATGATTTACGAGCACACCTGCCCACACAGCACGGAGTGTTCAGCGGTTTTTCCCCAAAATCCAGCATGAACCTCAAATGCCCCCACCCTCCTTACTCACCTGATTTTGCCTTAGCAACTTTTTTTTTTTTTTTTTTGAGTTGGAGTCTCACTCTGTCACCCAGACTGGCCACCGCAGCCTCGACCTGCTGGCTCTGGCGATCCTTCCACCTCAGCCTTCCAAGTAGCTGGAACTACAGGCACGCGCTACCACGCCCAACTAATTTTTGATTTTATTGTAGAGATGAAGTCTCACCAAGTTGCCCAGGCGGGTTTCGAACCCACGGGCTCAGGCAATCTACTCACCTCAGCCTCCTAAAGTACTGGGATTACAGGCTGAGCCACCAAGCCCGGCTTTTTTTTTTTTTTTCCTGATGAAAAAGTCCTCAAAGGGAAATGTTGCCGATGTGGAAGAGGTGAAACAAAAAACCACAGAAGCACTAAAAGGCATCCAATTTGATGAATGCAAAAACTGTTTTGAGTAGCAGAAAAAGTGTCTCATTAGGTGCATTGCATCAAATGGAGAATACTTTGAAGGTGACTGAAGTTTAAACATGCGAGAATAAATATGTAATTTTTTAATACATACATTCCAGGGTTTTTTTTTTTTGTCCCCCTCCCTCCCCCTTCATGTAGCTAGAAGCAGAATTGCTGGGTCATATAGAAATTCTGTTCATTTTTTATAGGGACTACCACATAGCCTTTCACAGCGGCTCTGCCATTTCACATTCTTTTTTTTTTGAGTTGAATTGAGTTAGAGTCTCACTCTGTCGCCCAGACTGGAGTGCAGTGGCTGCTCCCAGCCACCGCAGCCTCGACCTGCTGGGCTCTGGCGATCCTTCCGCCTCAGCCTTCCAAGTAGCTGGAACTACAGGCACGCGCTACCACACCTGGCTAATTTTTTGATTTATTGTAGAGATAAGGTCTCACCAAGTTGCCCAGGCAGGTCTCGAACCTATGGGCTCAGGCAATTCACTCACCTCACCCTCCCAAGGCACGGGATTACAGGCTGAGCCACCGAGCCCGGCTCATTTCACATTCTTGCTGGCCACATACAAGGGTTCCAGTTTCTTCATATCCTCACCAACGCTGCTTTTCTTTTTTTCCCTTTTTTTGAAAAGATAAGTTGGATCTTTGGAGAAATGTCTGTTAAAGTCTTTTGCTCATTTTAAAGTTGAATTTCTGTTGCTGTTGTTGTTGAATTGCTTATATTTGGGGAGGATATTAATCCTCTATCAGATATATGATTTGTAAATATTTTCCCTCATTCTGCAGGCTGTCTTTTCACTGTGTTGATAGTGTCCTTTGAATGTTTTGAATTTGAAGTAGTCCAGTTTGTCTACTTTTCTTGCCTGTGAGCTAATTTCTTTTTTGAATTGGAGTCCCACTCTGTTGCCCAGGCTAGACTACAGTGGCACACTCATGGTCACTGCAGCCTCGACCTGCTGGCCTCAGGTGATTCTTCCGCTTCAATCTTCCAAGTAGTTGGATCCACAGGCATGTACCACCATGCCCAGCTAATTTTTTTGGTTTATTGTAGAGATGAGGTCTCACCTAGTTGCCCAGGTTGGTCTTGAACCCTTTAGCTCAGGCAGTCCTCTTGTCTCAGCCTCCCAAAGTGCTGGGATTATAGACTTGAGTCACTGCACTGGGCCTTTTTTTTTTTTTTTTTTTTTG